TTCGAATATGGTGCAATTTGGAACGAAGTAACATTTGAATCCTATTTTCTAAGTTTAGGATTGATTTTTTTCTATGTGGTACGTTTCAGCATTCTCTACATATAATGAGAAAATTACCAAACCTCAAAAATTGGATTCAAATTTTATTCTTTTCAGAATTGTATCACCATGTCCTAAATTGTATCACGTTATCATATATTTTTTGTCTACAAAATATACCTCAATTAAAATCTATAGAAAGGTACTGTCATTTCAAATTTTGCCATAATGAGAGATTCTTCCGCCGGTATGGATTCTGCAATGTTCGCGATTAGTCCATATCAAAATAATTAGGCATTCCATATTTTACAAATATTTCAGTATTTATGACATGTCCGTAAATACGTGCGTACATATCTCGATTTCCGCATTGGTTCGATCAAATATTTTGTGGACTATGAAATGCTAAAATCTCGACGCCGGAATTCGCATCTAATGAAATCGCGGGGCGAATGAGAGAGATTCGAACATGCGACCGTAAAAATTCTTCGTCGCGGCGGTTGCTCCAAAATTATATGCCAGACCACTAAAAAGGCAAATGATATTCGTGTTTTGAGTACGCGAAACCGGGGTCGCGACCAGGTCGTAAAAATTCGCTACACGGCGACTCACCGTTGCGTAGAAATGGCACTTAATCCGCGTCGCCGCGCCCGGAGTATCGACGTTTCGGAAAGAGCTCTCGACCCCAGACTTTTCGCAAAGTACAAACTTATGAACAGGAAATGGCGACGTTTAATTCAAGCTGCATCTCCATTTCTCACGAATCCTGCTTGAGTGGTAAAAATTGAAGTCATACTTTCTATTTTTGATTTCTATCATCTTTCTTATTAAAACAAAGCCTTAAATTCTTCTGTAAGGCATTTGTTATATTATATTTATTATAATTATTACACTAATATAAAATTCAAATTATAACATCTAGCTTTAAGTGACTCAATAATAGATTAATACGTCATTATTTTATCTAATGCGTTCCATTAAATATTCTATGGTATTACGCATATATATGTTAATATAATAGCTTGTTAATCTCAAATTGAATTTAGTTATTAAATTAACAGAGAAAGATTGTTCATGTATCTACGCGAATTATCACATTTCATAACACGCTTATTGTATTTTATATCCTCTATTATTAGTTATAATATACAATTAATTAACGTAAAAACTCTAGGAGTTTGTCAAATCCTTCAAAGTTCATTTGGATATGAAATGAAATTTAAGATATAAGTATACTGAATAATTTTGCATCATGCAGTTTGATTGACGTAAAGAGAATTATCCATACTAGAGTTGCCACAAATTCCTCATCTTAGATTTTCTGACTTCCAATAACATTTTGAAACTTTATGCATTTTCGTATTGATTTGGAAACCATTAAACATTTGGTTGACAAAACAATTTAATAGTAATGTAAATTACTGTTAATGTTACTGACACCACTTGCATTTAACCATTAAACTGCACGGAAAAAAAGGATAGGAGCTGTGGTAGCTAAAATGTGTCTTTAAAATTGGGACTGCTGTTGCTGCTCAAGCTAAATTTATTAGCTATTTGCACTTATGTACGTACTGTAGCAACAAATTTTTGCTGCTAGAGACATTTAGCTGAATGCTACTTTATCTTTTACTGTAGAACTTTTAGGTGCACCGAAAAAATGAATATCCCACTTACGTGTAATATGTTTTCCTCTGAAATAAGCGCCAAAACGATCCTCTTAATTTAAGAGAAAAATCATCTAAATTTTTATCATCCTGTATATTCTTAATATAATGTACAGGATGTCCTATTTTAAACGGTGATCTCAAATATCTCTTGAACAATACACTTTAGAGAAAAATGTTTCAGACAAAAGTTGTATGATTTTAAGGAGAACATCGTCAAAAACCGCGTGAAGCGATGATCGCCTTCGCAAATCAATAATATATCATTAATTTAAGAGGAAATATTCTTATATCTATTCAGAGGAAATATTAAATACATTTTTCAAGAATACAATTTTTCGGTGTCTTTTTAACTGCCTGTACTAATGTATGCTTTTAATTTCAACTAATAAAGTTTCATGCCACAGTGACTGTTTTTTATCTGTAATAGTCAGAGCTTAGTAATGACACTAAGGCGGTAGATCTTACAGCTAAATTTGATTCAGCTGTTAAAATTTAGCTGTTATTGCCAAGTCATTTTTTTGACATGTAGTATTCTAAAACTGTGTAGGTGTGATATACTCGTATCAAATTTCCATAAAACCAAGAATTTATATTTTCTAGAAAACTCCGCAAAATTCTCCGATGTTTCCCCGACCGTTTTTTCCTTGACCGTTTTCAACTTCCCTGACATTTCCCTGATTTCCTGAGTTTTGTGGCAATCCTGCATACGCGGACAAATATATGGTGGACGTTCGTGCTAGCTGGTGTATTCGTCGTGATAGGATCGATTCTCGCCACGGTGTCGTAAACTTTACCAATCCCAAGTAGAAACCGAGGTGCGCCCAGCGCAAGTAACGCAAGACACATATGTCCCTAATGCATTAAGACAACTTTTCCTTCTTTGCAGCGAATACGAGTGCAGCCCACTTTCCGCACGAAGTCGCGGATGAGGTTTCGGGCGTGAAGACGGTGAGAATGTTACAGACATAAGCCGTAAAGAGTAAATTTTACAGAAGAACGAAAGGAGAGAAAAAGATGATATTTTATACGGCCAATTCACCGTTTCCAAAAGGGATTCCGCGAAATCCTTTCTTCCTTTCAGAAACGGGAAATAATACTCGGTTGTACCTGTCTACCCGATTACGGAAGAAACAACTTTGTAAAAAATTGATTTAACGAAACTTTTCTATTTGAATAATTTATTCGCAAGTTATTTGCTCATTGAGTGAAACAAGTATAAAGAAAGCTCCTCTCGATAGAAAATGTGAAAACTCGATTTTATTATAACTTATGCGAATTAAATTCGATATTGCTCTTAGTGTTCTAAATATAGGTAGATAAACGGCGATGGAATTCGAGGATTCGAAAGAGAGACATGATTTATGTGGTGCACACCGATAACGTTAGGCAATCTGATGCGATGTGTCGTACGACGTGCGTAAATCGTGTTTTTTAGCATACGTTGATGCTGAAAAGCGAGCGAATCAGCGGCAGAAATATCTCTTGACCCGTCGTCTCTCTCGTTCCCTCTCGTAAAACCGCGACGCGCCACGCCGATAATCCGTGACACGAATTCTCGTTTCGATTTTATAGCACGAGACGATTTTATTGTGCGACGCACGTTATCCGCGGTTATCGAGAGCAATGATAAATTTTCAGATACCATCTCGAATTCTTGCCTCGATATCGAGAAGCGAATGACACCGATGGATGGGGATGTACCATGCGATGTCCCGCAGGGGATATCCTGCTTTTGTGTCGCGGCCATTTTAAAGGAGCTGATGAAAGCGGCTTATGGTCTATAATATTCTCAAATCGGCTTAAATTCACAAGATACTATGGTATCTGTAACTTTAATCTTACAAGATAAAAATAGAAAGTTTAGATCGCAAGAGTAATCCGTAATCGCATTTTCCGGCATTTTGGGATAATGTCGACAAGTGCATGAGGCTAGTTAAATTAAAGTGTGTGACTGTAGACTTAACTTAAACATTTTAAATATTTTCTGCGGATAGTTTATACATATATATATATATATATATACAGGGTGTCCGGAAATTCGCGAATCAAAATATCATAGCAAGAAAGTTCTCGAAAAAATAAGTTAAAAGTGGTTGCCATTTTTCATTCCGAGCAATAATTTTTGAAATATAGGAGGCCAATTATATTTTTTCAAAACAGGTCAATTATAGATTAGATGGAAATCCATCCATGAATCACGCATTAACGCAATAATGTTAGAAGTCGCGCATTTTACGCGCTCAATGACATTAGACAAATAATCGTTTGTGTAACGTCAGTATAATAAAAAACACTGCGTGTTGCGTAATATTATAATATACTTGTTCCGCATTAATTGTATTGTATAATATTTGCAATATCACACTCGTATATCTAAAGACAGTTATAAACCACATGGCTAATGATACGCCAACTTTATGCACATTCGCTAAATATGCATGATAATTATGCACATCATATGCGTGTGTATGTGTATAATGTTTGCTACACACAATGTTGACATATATTAGCCCACGTCATCTGAAGCCACCTTACTGATAACCTTATATTTTTCTGTTTGTCATATTTATCTTATTATTTAATATGATGTGACGTTCGTAATTGTATCATTTTATTATAAATTGTTTGTAATTAATTAATTTCTACTATTTTAATACATTTAAGCGAAAGTAATTAATGTCACGCACAATTAGTAAAGAAACTTTAAGGTAACTAAGAGATGCGCAAGTTGGTAATAGATGCTTGGAACATTCCCTAAAATAATTTCATTCTATAGTCATTTTTTACTGATAATATACATTAATATATCAATAACATATTAAATATAGTCAAAGTTACATTAATTATCCTTATGAGATAAAAAAATGTAAAAATAATGAATCTTGTGGGCAATACTTTTTATTTTTCTTTTTCAACACAAAGTTTTAAAGATAACTATACCTGTTGTGGCCACCCTCACTTACCCACTTAAAGATAAAATGAATCAGAACTGTGTGTTATAACTTTTATTTAAATTTTAAACTTAAACTTAAATTTAAACTTTCATTTAAATTTTATACTCCAGTATAAAATTAATTCGATACATTCGATCAAAGATCCCCACAATTACAGTCGCGTACGGTATCCGAGATCAACGTCAGATCAACGAACATCTGTGAAGATTAAAGAAGACGCGCTTTATCGTACAATTATAAAAGCATTCGAGCCACATCGCGCTCGAGTATCCCATCCCTCGTCCAACATTACGATCCTCCTTGAAGTTATATCGATAAGAGACACGAGACGCGTACTCACAGTTGTCATTCTTGCCATCGACGCAGCCAGCACGCTGGCACAGCACGAGCGCCAAGAGCAGGAGGGCTCGAGTGCCCCCCGCTAGGCACATCCCTGCGGCGGCCTTATCGTTATCGGCACGCGCACATCGTCCACACCACCCCCGCGCGAAAGGCACAGATAGGGTCGTCGTCTTTTTCCCCTCTTTGCACGCACGCACGCACGTACCACCCGGTGTGACGAACCACCACGACGAAGCAACCGCACCCCGCGACGTGTCCCGCGCGACTGAGCGCCTCCGCTCGGTGCGATTTTACGCGCGAACCACCCCCACACACATCGTTCCCCGTCGTCGACGTAATCGTCGTAGTCGTCGTTGTCGACGTTGAAGCGAAGAAGAGAAACAGAGGGTGAGAGAGGGAGAGGGGAAGAGAGAAAGAAGGAGAAGCGGGGACGGAGTTCGCGCGTGCGCCCTATGAACCTCGAGAAGGGTGTGGATGTCGACGGGGGTTGAAAGGACGTACTACGCCGACACTCACGCTCATTGTTGAGGCGAGTTAATGAGGACGAGCGTAACCGGCTTTTCGACCGGATTACGCTACGTCGTAACGCGGACGCGCGAAAACGTACCGCGGAACACGCTGCCCGGAAAATGCGGACGGAAGTGATGATGACGATTGGCTTGGGGATACAAGAGAGAATCCCAAATGAGATTGTTTGATTCGACATTGTTCACCCAGAGAAACGTGATATAATCAGATATGCAATTGCAGATTAAGGTATTAAGCTTGCGTATCTCTCTTTTTTTTTGTTGGACATTTTTATCGGAGACATTATTAAGCTACTTTAAATGCTCCGTGATATAATTACATAATTATTAATGTCTACTTTGGTGGAGAAATATATTTTTAATCTTTATATGTATTGACAAATTCTGATAAGTTAAATATTATAATAATATTGAAAATAATATCAAAATTAAAAATCTCGTGTTTAAATTTTGTAGCTATTTTATGTAACATTTCCAAATATAAGAATTTTATTGTACGGAGAATTGATAATTAATTGATCGAAACAAAAGCAAGTGAAAATATATTATATAAATATATAAACATAAATATATTTATGTGCACACATCTAAATCAAACTGACAGAATTGGAAAAGTTATTTAAAAATGTAAAGTTTCGTTGAAATATTCTATTAGTCATATCTGAAAAAAAAAAATCTGAAATGAGAGGATTAATTTCAGAGGATTAACATCGTTTGTACGATGCATTCGCGAGCGTTGCAAAAGATGAAAGCATACGGTTTTATGAATTTAGTGTAGTTACTAGTTACATAAATTATAATCTCATTCCGAGACGTGAATTCATGAGTTCACGTAGGAAAACGGATACCTACGAGTGTCAGCGAGTAACTTCAACTTAAACTTCGACGCGTGTTATCCCGACGTTCTAAATATCGTCGCGCAACCATAACCGAGCGCAATGTGCTCCTCCGGTGGAACCAGATGCTGCATACGGAAGTTACAATGCCGGTTACACGTTCCCGCGCTGCGGTCGCGAAAGCTGCGAAATCGCGACGAACTTCCTCGTCGCATTCAATTTCGAGGAAATTTAGAATTCGTCGTGGACCCTCGGGTGGGTCGGATGGCAGAAAAGTGGAAGAATTGCAAATCTTGACCGCGTAACTCGCGAGTCTCACCGCTCGGCACGCGGAGAAGTTTGCGTAGATTTGGAAGCGAATGCGGATTGTTGGCGCATACGAAGTTATAATACCTCGGCGTCGAACCGTGAAGTTGACTAAAGAAGGGAACCGTCAAAGTGCCAGGTGCACTTTCGCAGCGTTCTCGTCGATATCTACGGGAAAAATCTTGACTGCGCGTTATAAATATAAGAAAATTGAAATAGCCGATATTACATTGTGGATAGTATAATAGAATGTGGGACATGTGTAAGAAAAATCGATTATCGAAGAAAGAAAATATGTGAATTTTTTTTTTATATACACGGAAAGAACGATTTTGCTGAAAGATTTAAAATTTTTTGGATACACACACATGTGAAAATAATTTTGTTGTACCATCAAAATAATTTGGTTAGAAACTAAAAAATGTTGAGCAACGCTAGAAAAAAATTTTGATATTCTAACAAGTGTCCAGATCAGTTTCCAATAAAATTTTTTTGATGGTCTAACAGAATTATTTTCAGATGTTCAGCAAACTTTTAAATTTTTCGTCAAAATCATTCTTTTGTATATTTTTGTGTGCATTTTGTTTCGTGGATTGTAATACTTAAAAAGTTCTATAGATAAAAATATTGTTCACAGAAGCTAAATTTTTATCAAAACGACTGCTGTTCCAGAGATATGAAGTATAATTTAGTTATTGTCACACTTATTATTAATTACGAAAAATATATATTATGGATTTATTTAATACTTTTTGAAAACATGATAAAATTTATGTGTATTTACTGTACATATAATAATTAATCAAAAGATTACATTCACTGTAAGAAATTTCTGTTGTAAACTTCCAAAAGTGTTGGAAGTTTTTTATTCAACAAAATGTGCTGTGAATTTAAATAGTTATATTGTGAAATTACAATAATATTTTGTGGTAAAGTATATGCAAATCTCTAATACGCATACGTGGCACGTTAATTTTGTAAATTTACAACAAATTTCTATTGTAAAGTTACAAATATTGTAAAATTACAGCAAAACGTTACATTTGTTTGTAAATTTACTGCACATTTTTATTGTAAGGGTATTGTCAATTCATAAACATTTCTAACAGTGTATAGAGATAATTAAACTTACATAAGTAACAACTTATAGTCGATGAAAAAAATAATTTAAATATCTTTCAGTTAACCATCAAGCGACGAGCGATTAAAACCCTTTCCTTTTGGGCGGAAAAAATTAGATCACCCTCCGTCGGTAGACGGAGTAACGGGCAAGGTGACGAGATTAAGAAGTCGTCTGCGGAAAACTAAGGAGGTGCGAAAAGTCGTCGTAATAAATCTCATTTTATAAGAATGAGTTATTGTCTAGCGACCAGTCGATTCTCACCATTCCGAAAGTGCTCTCGGAAAAAAACTCCGCGAAAAATATTCCGCGATGATTGTTGCTATGAAGTTCGATCGTGTAATTTTCCTTCGGAATTGGTAGGGTGAATTTTTCACACAAATTTTTGGAGTTTGCGATCAGATATAGAGAGCAATGAGAAAATCCCATTCGCGCGCTCGCACAAATGGGATTTAATCTAATGTGAAAAGTGTGGAAGTTCATAGATAATTCCATGATCGATTTCCTCTCGGTGAGGTACTATTTTTATAAAAGACTTCAGAATAATATAGAAACCATTTCAAGTGATGAAAATGTTAATATTTTATATCATTATTGACAATCGCTGAAGAAAAAGTGGTGCTATTTTATCATACATAGTTTTGACATACATATATATTTTTTCATGTAGTTGACATAAAACTAGAAAGCTTTGGTTATATTTTTAAAATGTTTATCCTGTATAAAGTTGATAAAAAAGTTCACGTTGAATAATTTATTTAGCTCTTAATTACATTGTGGAACAAAATTTAATCTTTTTTGCGACACGAATATGAATAGTCATTTCTATTTAAAATGCATTTTAAAGTTAAAACTCGATTCTTTCATGTGGCATTAATGAAATTAGGTAAAAAATTTAATTGCCGCTACTGTAACGTCTTGCAAACTCTCAAAATCGTCATTTTTTGATTTTTCGATATTTTTTATAAAAATTGACAGCCAACTTTTGCCAACGGATTTGTGTTCAGCGTGTAAAAGTATTGTACATCGGAAATAACTTCACTCTTGTATTGAAAAACTGTGTTTCACAGTGTTATTGACAGATTTATATTAAAAGACATTGGAAGAATTTATAGTTTCTCTCACGTAAATTATATTTATTGCATATCAAAATTTACAATGTTTTATAAAGCTTTCAATGCGTATTTATTGCTTTAACATAATTTTCAATTACGAGATAATTGTTTGATACATTAAAGGAATCATTATGTAAAGATGATTAGCAAACGGAATAGCATTATTGTGACAATCTCGATGATTACACCATCGCATAAATCAACGAATGATGAAGGCACATTCCAGTCAATAAAATCCCGCCAACTATTACAATGCCACAACTTCCAGTTCCGCAGGTCGTCATACCGCAGCGTCATACGAGCGAGAAAAATCGATAACATACGACGTGTCCATCATATATCCATCGCGATGTCGTGAAGCGATGACACGACGGTATATCGTAGGTAGTCAAAGGGTTAAATCGATACTACGATTTCAGACTACATCGGGAAACCCTCAACAGCCAAAATAATAAAATACATAAAATATTGCCCGTTTAATCTAACATTTTATAAATATGGGATTTGTAGCAATAGTTACATTAGTAATATTTTTTCCAATATAGATTTAATTATTATATATTAACACAAAATTAACTATTTTTTCTAATAATATCATTTATATATTTTTTAATAATTTTTTAATAATATACAAATTTTCTTAACAATAAAGATTTTGTTGTTTATTGATAATGTAAATTTTAAGAAGCATTGTAATAATTAATTGATATCACGACTGCGGAAATTGTCTTGACACTTCTACAAAATTTTATATTTCTTCGTCATTCATTCCACATCATTTTGTTTCTCTCACTCTGCGTTCATTTCATACCGCTATACATATCAGCGACCGTAAAAATCTCTTTTACATAATCCGCAAACGTTTTATTACGCTTTTGAAGCGCCACTTATTAACAGGTCTTTTCTCTCTTTTATCATATTTCTCAATCTAGTTTTCATCGCGCGACGGCTTTTCGCGTACGTTGAAAAAAAGCTTACAGCGTTACGTATTTTAATAGCAACGCTTTAAATTAGTATCTCAGTATTAAAGCGAACTCTCTCTCTATCGCCTCGGGTAGTTTTGCAACGAGGCATTAAATCGGACGTTGCAACGCGAAATTTCGTTTTGCTGAATTATACGGTGGATGTGCACTCGGAAGAATGCAGCCACGCGACGCTCGCACTCTCTGTTCGAATTAGCTCCAATTTATTGATTAATTAATCTCAGTCTCAATTAACTGGACACAGAAGCAATAGCGAATAACGTACGATTTTCTCATATCTTCTTTTGGTAACCAGATTGCGACGTAAATTATGACCTGGTGAAATGGCAAAGCGGCGAGATCAGGATTGTAA